AGATTATCAACAAGTAATCTCTTTTGTCATAGCGTTGCAAAGATCATTGTCTTGTAATCTTCGTCTTGGCTCCTTGAGAATATGAGAGTCGTCAGATTGTAACTCCCGATGTTGATTGTGAATGCTGTTGAACTAGAGCTCTCATCGGTTATCGTGAAGGTCGTCAGATTGTAACCTTCAGCGATCTACGTGAAGGTCTTCAAATTGTAGCCTTCTGGAAGTCGTCAGATTGTAACTTCCATCATCGGTGTTTGATGGGGGGATAAGCTATCTATTGTGGTTTTTAGACAGCCTACAGTAAGTAAAATGCATATACTATTCACACTCGTGCCTCGGTGAGTGAATCCCAAACTCATGTCCATAATCAACTTATGTATAGAATAGGCAATTAACAGTGTATTAAAATACCAGATAACCCAGACAACTCGCTGGTCATACAAACGCATGTAAACAATATGTACATGCACAAACAGGTCCAGCGGTCGACCGCCCCGATCACCGCGGTTGACCGTGAAATGAGCAGAAAGATATTGCACAAAATATCACCCAACGATCGACCACCACGTCCACCACGGTCTACCGTGCAGAAACAGAGAGCTTCCTGCACAAAAACGTCACCCAGCGGTCGACCGCGCAGAAGCATAACAGGTTTTCAGGTTTTGAACTTGCAAAAATTTTAACTTATCAAAAACATGAATTTTTTTATTTATAAATCATATGATAATATGAAAACTTTATTTCTACATATCAGAAAAATATCTCATGATTTACTTAAACTTGATTTAACCTAATCAAGTTTAACAACCCAAATAATCAAATTCTTTACAAGAACCCTAGTTATCGACAAAATTAACATAAATATACTTGTATAAAACTTGAAACATCAAATTCTTTACAAGAACCCTAGTTATCGACAAAATTAACATAAATATACTTGTATAAAACTTGAAACTGATGTAACAATTTTATTTTCACGTTTTTAAATCTTGTTTTACCCCAAACCTAGGGTTTTAAGCATCTCTAATCAACATAAAATATTATTTAATTATCAAATTAGGGTTTAAACATGCTTTAATCATGATTAATAAATTAAAAACAAAATTATGAATAACCCTAATGATCATGATCATATTTCTATCATAAACAGTAAGGTATTATTATAGATCTATACTGGTTTAAAGAATTATCATAAAAAATCTAAACTTTATCATGTCGGGTTAAACTTTACCATGAAAAACATCACTTTAACCATTAAAAGTCTAATCTTTATTAAGGAAAGGGTTTGGATACAGATAATCTTGTCTTATCATGTGCACAACCCCTGAAACAATCAGCAAACGATCCTTTGATGCCAAACGCCACAAATCTCGCATTCTTCTCGCTTTTCGCCTCATGAAACTCTCCCGAGAACTCAAGTTTAGGGCTAGGTTTTGAGAGAGGAGGAGAGGGGCTGCTAGGGTTTGGAATACAGAAGAAAAGAGGTATTTTTTATATATAAACATGTATATATATGGCAGCAAATCTGAATAAATACAGCCCAAAACCCGAAACCCGAAACTGGAAACCCAGCCTGACTAGAAACATACTCTTCGGTATTTTGGCTGTAACTTTCACATCCGACCATAGAATAAGGTGATTAAAGATTTGTTAGAAATGTGCTAAAGATACCTACAACTTTTATGTTTTATATTTTTCCATATTCACACTATATTAGTATGTAAAATACAAAATCTCTCCACTAGTCATTATTTTCCAGATTTATTCATCATGCATGTTTTGTGCATTTGCACTCATATATACATATATACATTGAATTGATCTCAAATCAATTTCTAGCATACTCAAACATCATAATATGTTATTTATCAATGTCTAACAAATTTATTATTATTTATAACAAAATATTCAAATTTTTAGGGTTTTACATTCTTCCCCCCTTAAAAGAATTCCGTCTCCGAAATTCTGCATCTTATCTTAGAGATTAATAATACATTATTATTAACCTCTAGATATGAAACATAGCAATAACTACACTTAATCATCTAGAATGCGTATACTCTCACTTAACCCCTAACTAAATAGAATTAGTACATCAGACGAAAAATCCAAACGAGGAACCTCCCATATATATACCATGTATTCCGAATGATTAGGAGCTAAGTGTTAATACCCCCATACTAGTGTTAAATATAAATATGACTATCCAAATCATCATAAACTATAAGCAAATCATAATCAATTTAATTTACCTGTTCAAACAGGTGTGGGTAGTCACAACGCATATCCTCTTCGCGCTCCCAAAAAGCCTTCTTAGCTCCTTTCCGGTTCATTTGAACTTTGACTAATGTAATCACCTTATTTATAAGTCTCTTGTTTTCTCATAACAAGAATACAAATATAAATCTCAATCATAGTCAAATCATCATGGAGTTAAATCTCCGACACGTCTAATACTCGTTACTGTTCCTCGTCAAGTAAATCCTTCTTAAGCATGGAAAACATGAAAACATCGTGTATACTCGACATGGATGCTGGAAGATCTAGTCTATATGAAACTACTCCAACACGCTTGAAAATCCTGAATTATCCAACATATCTCGGGGTAAGTTCCCTCGTCTACCGAATCGCTAAATTCCCTAACATGGAAATCTATAACACATGCCAGCAACATGTCCTTCAACATTAGGTTTACTCTCTTCGCCTACCCATGTGTTTGTGGATGAAATACACTGCTATAAGATAATTTGCTACCGAATAAAATTTTGGAAACTCCTCCAGAAATGTGAAGTAAAAACCGAGCCTTGATCTGATACAATCGTTTCTGGAACTCCATACAACCTTACAATCTCTTGGATGAATATCTTCGCATAAGTCTCCTCCATGTAAGTCGTCCTCACTGGTATAAAATATGCTGACTTCATCAACCGATCAACTATCACGCAAACTGAATTGTTCCCTTCTTCGATCTTGGTAATCCTTCAATGAAGTTTATAGAAATAACTGCCCACTTCCACTCCGGAATGGGTAAAGTTAGTAGGGTCCATATTGACCTCTGATGTTCTGCCTTCACTTGCTTCCAGGTAGAGTTCTTAGCTACAGACTTTACAATCTCCCTAAGCATGCCGTTCTACCAAACATGTCCCTTCAAGTCCTTGTACATTTTTGTTGTGTTTGGATGCACTGTGTATCTGGTGAAATGAGCCTCATTAAACAATTCCCTTTTAGTTATGCATTAACTGACATCACTAATTAGACTATCATCTGAAGTTCTACATTTGCCCTAACAGTTCAAATCGGCCTTGGGTTCTTTGGAAATCTATTCTTTACGAGTTTGAATTCAGGTGTCCTCTAACTGAGCTCTAGCCACTATATCACTCCAAGATGGCTGCACTGGCATAGCTCCAAAAAAAATGCTGGTTCCTGCTTGAAACATTCGGCCTAAATTCAAACTGGCTAAGAGTATGAAGATCTTAACACAACGGGCACTTCAAAGCCGCACTCCGATGTCGACGCTTCCTGCTCGAAACATTCGCTATGACGTTCGCCTTTCTCGGATGGTACTGAATCGCGAACTCATAATCCTTGATGAACTCGACCCATTGTCGTTACCTCTGGTTGAGTTTCTTCTGAGAAAATAGATACTTTAGACTTTTTGGTCTGCGAATAGCTCAAACTGTACTCCATACAGATAGTGCCTATATTTCTTTAATGCGAAGAATATTGCTGCTACTTCCAAGTCATGCATGGGATAGTTCTGCTCATGCGTCCTCAATTATCTAGAGTCATAAGCTATTATTCTCTGTGTCTACATTAAAACATTTCCTAAACCTGCTAATGACGTATCCATATAGATAACGAATGTTCTATCACTGCTCGGAATAGTCAAAACTCGTATTTGCTGAATTTAACGTACAACTGATGCTCCCGCAAGGTCTGCAATACCAAACGTAAATATTATTCATGCTCTGCCTCCGCTCTCGAATAGATAAGGATATCATTGATAGATAAAATCATAAATTGGTCTAAATATAGACGGAAAACACGGCTTATCAAATCCATGAATACCGCAAGTGCATTGGTTAGCCCACATGGCATGACAAAAAACTCAAAGGACCATATCGAGTTAGAAAGACGGTTTTGGGAATATCCATCTCCCGAACTCGCAAAAAAATAACCAAAACAAAGATCAGTCTTCGAGAAATGCTACGCTCCCTGTAGCCGGTCGAACAAGTCATCAATCTTTGGTAATAGATACCTGTACCGGATAGTGATTTTGTTCAACTCATGGTAATCGATACACAATCACATACTACCGTCCTTCTTCTTCACGAAGAGGACCAGCGTTCTCCACAGAGAATGACTCCGACGAATAAAGCCCTAGTCTAATAACTCATCCAACTGGGTTTGTAGCTCCCTCATCTCAGCAGGTGCCATACGATAGGGTGCTCGGGATATCGACTTGATGCAAAACTCAACCTCTCACACAGGAGGTGACCCAGGTATGTCCTGAAAGACATCTTGATACTCTGAGACGACTCTAATCTCGTATAAATCAACATTTTGATCCCGCAATATCATCTCCTCGATGTACGCTAGAAATGACTCCGCAAACTCGATGTAACCGTTTGGGAGTGGGTTTTCCCAAACGGTTCCAACTGTTTGGGCTATCCTATTTTGTACTAGTGCATAGAAACAAAAAGCATAGGAAAAGTGCCTGAAGTAGAATAGCACATCAATTTACTTTCACACAATACTTCTTTCCACTCCATTAAATAGAATTCATACACGTGATAAGCTTTCTCTTTAAAATGCACCTGAATAACAGAAATTGCTCCTTTCAAGCGCTAGCAACTACTTATTGAATATGTTGGCATACGTAATACGTTCCATCTCAAGCGCACCACATAGGCAACTCTTATTCATATAAAATGATAAATTATTAGTCCAAGGCATAAAACTAGATAATTAAACTCTAAAAGAAAAATTTCTCACGTTTGATATCAAGCGTTCCCACCGTCTGCACGAAAAATGTGTACTCTCATGTAATCTCCTCCTGCGAATATTTCAAATTCGCATTTGTCACCCTCCACCAAGCTATTTCCTACTGAGAAAGATGACCACCCAACGCCGAGCTCTAATTGCCCATCGGAGCGGAGAATGATGTCTACAGCCCATGATTTCCCTGAGGGATCGATTAGAGTAGTCTTTCGAATTAGGCCAACTTCCTTTGCCACTTCCGCTGGAATTCGCTGGAATAAGAGTGAGAAAATGTAAGTATACCATATTAAAAACGATGTAAATGCCCAATAAACCATGATTGAAAATGCGAGGTTAAAAAAAAAGAAGAAGTTCAACACACCACATGATATAAATGATTCAACTTCAAACGTATAGTGAACTTTGGATGACTTGATTCAGAGCGTTCGGGTGCATTTGGAACACTTTCCTTATCATCTGAAGTCGATAGTCCTGGAACAATGTTCTTATCATCTACAGGTCTTTCATCTGCACCAGTGGAACATGAAAAAAAAAGTGAGTTGTTGAAGAAAGATAAATACGTGACATTTCCTACTCTAAATGTCGTTAGGTGTAAAAGACTCCAATACTTTTTGGCACTTCAAAGGCTCGGGTTGCTTAGCAATGAAATATAGAAAAGCAAACCATCAAAATAGACATTATCTGAATATACAACATAAGCTAACCAAATTTTAAATGTAAGGAGGCATCAAAACAAGTAGTGCATGTTCATGACTGAAAATTGATGTAGGACATAAAAGTTTTTAGCATTATTAATTTTAAGTTTTTCCTTCAGTTGATTACCGATTGAAATTTGAGAAAACCTAATGAGCGTCAAAACAGAATCCAACAAAAGGATTTCTCCAAAATGTTAACCAACTGATCAAGATCCCCCAAAAAATATATTACCTAGCATCCCACTGCTTTTCATTAAGGTAACCCATGATTGCTACTGGAAAAGTTTACTGATTTCATCCCTTTATTTAGTGTGTTTGAAACATATTAAGTAATCCATCTTTAGAATCAAGTCCCCATAAAATATTAATACGAAAAGCATAAGATTCATAATTACCATCCCTTTACTTAATTTTGAAGGCTATGTTTGGTTTGAGGGAAAGTGGGAGAAAGGAAAGTAAAATAAAAGAGAGAGTGAATTTCTTCTGTTTGGTTTAAAAGAAAACTAAAAAGAAAAAGAAAACCATTATCACTGCAGAAAAATAGCTATCTATTTTTTCGTTTTCCCTTTCTCTCCGCTGCCCAGGTGAAAACGAAGGAGAATCGGTCGCTCGAGCTTCCGACTTTCCCCGATCGATCAATGTCCACTCTCTCCAAAACTCCGGCCGATCAATCTCCTCTCTCTCTCTTCCCTCATTCTCTCTGCAAAACTTCGACCGATCAGTCTCTAAAACCCTAGTTCGACACCGACCGAAGCTTTGACGCCGATCAAATCCTAGTTCGACGTCGATCAAACCAAGACTGTAGCTCTCCTTCAACGTTCCTCCCCATCTCACCGTAACAACACCGATCCGACTTCAAAGTTCTGATTTTTCATTTGGAATCTGCTGAAGATTTGGTTACTGATTAGGTTTTTTTGGGGAACCGTAGGATGAGCAAGGGAATTGGCACGCTGTGGCGATCGCTGCGTTGATCGATGATGTTGGGGCTGCTGCGATCATGACGGTCGTTGGGCACATCAAGATCTCCGTTGACTTCTCCATTTCCTATTTCTCTCCTGCTGCAAAGATCAATGTAAGTGTTATATGTGAATTTGTTCTTCGCTTGTTTATTAGCACTTTTTTGCTCTCAGCTTTATGAGAAAATGGGGGATTGACTGTAATTTATCTTCTTAAATTGTTTAACTTCAGGATAAATGCTAATAAACGAGTGGGGAGAGGATAAGTACGGTTGTCGGGATTCTTATAATTATCCGAAAATGTAGGATAACTATAGGGAGGACTCGGGATCCTCTCCAATTAGGGTCCAATTAGTTTCCATGCATCAAAATACAATCCATGAACCAAACAGTCCCTTAGGTGATAAGTAGAGAGTATCAAATTCCTCTAATCTTTACCTTTTATCTCTAACTCGAAGGCAAAAGAGGGAACCAAATAACTCCTAAAGTGAAATATTTCTAAAAACTAAAAAGGAAATCCTCCCTAATCCCTCCAATTATATGCATTGTACAGAGAAATACATTTGCTTTTTGCTATGTGCGTGCATTCACAAAAAATAAAGAAAGAAAAAACATTTGCTGCTATAGGAATTATACGCATATTTACAAAAAATTCTCACACATAATATAGGAATTATAAATAAGTACAATGTAACTATAAATCATGCTCTTTATGTTTAAACTTTCGGTAATATGAAGCAACTGTCGTATTTGATCATTCCTCTTAAACTGTTTGCCTTTCTTCTCTTCCTCTGTCTTAAAGCTATCATCTAATTTACGAGTGAGCCAATAGCTCATTCACTTGCATCCTTGCCTTTGCAGGCACAAAAGAATGTACATACATGCTAAAAGAATGTATGGATATAACTGACAGTTGCTTGATCTTTACCTTATACATCCCCAGTCGAAACCTTTAATCATTTTGCAATTGATGTGGCCCTATTGGATACAATCATGCTGATATTTCCCATGTTACTTCAATGTTGTACATGCTTTGTATGTTCTGCAAATACTGCATGTTGCAATGCAAACAAAAAAGAGGGGGAAGAAGAAAGAAAGATACTAGTGAAGAAAGAAAAGAAATCAGAAATAAGAAAAAATATCGAGGAGGAGGAGGAGGAGAAAGAAAGAAAAATAAATCAATGTGCATACCCAATACTGAATTTGTTGATATCATACTTGGAGAAGTGGAAGCAGGAGATTGTGAGTCCATTTGGATATCATGTTGCATTTTTTGTGCCGCAAATTTTGTTTGAATCTGGCGGAAAACTTATTACCTACCATCTCTATACGTTGTCTCCTGTTTGTTTCATCAAATCACACAATTATGACCCATCTCTCCACTTAACCAAGCCCTTTATCGCCTCTATTAATTTTTTACTTTTCCATTGGTTAATTTAGTTTCGAGTCTTCTTTGTGAAGCTGCTAGCAGTATTATGTATTCTTGGAGTCACATGGAAAAATTGTTAGGAAAATATAAGGGGAGTATTTGATGGTCAAAAATGACTCAGAAATTCCTACTTGTGGGGGTTAATTCTTCGCATCCAGATGCAATTGAAAATTCTGTTGTATTACTCTGATGACTGATGTTATTAATACTTTAATAGTTATTTAGGTCTTTAACATAGGATACTTTGATGTTGCCTTCTGGTAGGGTTGAAAGAAAATGGAAATGGCATCTGTAAAAAGTAGTAGTTCATTTTCATCTAGCCATGTGATGTTACTCAATATTGCGTATCATCTGGTGCGAGGGGTGGAGTAGTCTCCTCTTGCAGTTGTTGCTTGGATATTGAATTCAATTACTATATCTGCTAAACCAAATAAGGTCTCATTAGCTGTTCTAGATGTTACTGAATATGGTCAAAATGAAGATTGGTTCAATCTTTGCTTTTGATTGCTTCTCGCATTAATGAAAGAAAGTCATATATAGTCAAATGGCAATGGGGTTTAATTTTTGTGTGTTAGGTTGTATTATATATTTGAATATGTTCTATAGTTTCATGAAACTTAAGTTGCATTTGGTACTCAAAGCACAGATATTTGAATATGTTCTATAGTTTCATGAAACTTAAGTTGCATTTGGTACTCAAAGCACAGTCCTTATTCTTGTCCATATTCTACACAAAATAACATGAAACTTAAGTTGCATTTGGTACTCAAAGCACAGTCCTTATTCTTGTCCATATTCTACACAAAATAAGGTCATGTATCGAGCTTAACAGAATGCCAATATGGAATCAGGTTTACTACTCAGTTACTTTCTTGGACATTTAATCAATTTTAGTTTTTATGCTACATAAGTCTATCTATTTGTTTTATCTTGACTTTGTTGTTTAGCTTGGTGTTCACAACGACTTTGTTAAATCTATTCATGTATTTTTTCCCCCTCAGGTATTATAATTCTCTTCCACCAGTAACTAAGGCCTATGGGACCTTGTGTTTTTTTACTACTGTTGTGTGTCAATTGGGACCTTGTGTTTTTTGAATTCACACAAATATTTTGGTTTACTTCTAAGTTATAACTATATTGGAGTTTATGTTGGTTTATAGGCAGAAGTGTAGGAATCTTTCTTCATTGTGATAGAGAGTTATGTTGGTTTACTTCTAAGTTATAACTATATTGGAGCTCACGTCTTCGTTTATGTTTTACTTTTTACTGTGTTATATATAATTTGTAGCAAATTCTAAGTTATAACTATATCGGACCTTTATATTCTACTTATTTGAAATTTTTTGAATTAATTTCAGGGGATGAAGGATGCGAGATTGATGTTTTGATGGGCTCACTAAAGTCAAAAACCAAGGACTTCGGCATATTTTTCTCTCTCTATTTGGTTAAGATTCTCTATATATGAAATTGATTGTAATATATTTTGTTAGTTAAGGTTTTTTATATGAAATTGATTGTAATAGACTTTGTGACTAGAAACGGATTATATACTTTATATTAGGAATATCATGATATTTACTTTAGATTTGTTTTGGTTCTTTCATTGACCTTTTTATATACTTTATATTAGGAATATCATGATATTTACTTTAGATTTGTTTTGGTTCTTTCATTGACCTTTATTTCTCCAAATATTATGTGTGAGAAATGTTGTTATTTAATTAGCGGAATTGTGGTTGTGCTTCTGCTTGTTAATATTCACAAACTCGATGTTGATGGCCACTCAAGTTTTTGTGTTAGGAAATTGCCAAATTTTTTTTAAATACATGTTTATTAACCTGTTACTTCCTAAGATATGAATGATACTAATTTTGAATAATTATGCTTGAATTGCATCATTGTCTAGAGCTTATTCGGAATCATCTTTCTTCACCTGAGGTTATGAATAACTTGCAAGTCCAAGACCATGTAAGATTATATGCAAATTTAGAGTCATCATAAATTTGACTAAATTTTCTAAGTTAAGATTGTGCAAACATGTTTGGTAACTTGTAAATTTTTTAAAAATATGATAGAATCATAATTTAATTTAATTATTTTTTGTAAATTATTTAAAATCTGAATCTAATTTCAAAAAGTATGAATTAAAATTATGTTGTGATAATTTTCTTCCTCTTTTCTCAGAAATGTAACCAAACAAGAGAAAATGACTTTCTTATGAATTTTCTTCTAACTTTCCTTACAATATTCTTTCTAACCAAACAATAAAAAGAATATCACTTTCTTTTCTTTTTCTTTTCCTTTCTTTTTACTTTCTCTTTCTTTTTCTTTTCTCTCCCTTTCTCTCAAACCAAACATAGCCTAAGTAACAATCCAACACATAGCAGAAACTGGACCACCCAACAAAAAACTCTAATGGTGGTGATTAGGAGGCGATCAGGTGAGGCGACTCTCTCCCTTAGGAGGCAGGTAAGGATCATTAATGGTGAAATCTCCATTAAAAAACCCTTCTCATCCTTTCTGCCTCCTCCTCAGCAACGTGGGACTACGTTGTCACATCCTAACCATTAGCCTCTGCATCCCTTTGTTGCATCCTCTTCAAAACCCTTCACCTCCTTTCCTCTAAAAAAACCCTATCCCTACCTCCACTGATCTCAGAAAAGGATACAGATCTTCTCCCTCTCCCTTCTGTCACGCCTCCTCTTCCTGATCAAGGATGGACCAGGGTAGTTGGTTAATAAGAAACGAGTGGCCAAATCAAGGGCAGATCATCGTGCTCTTCTCCTCCAAAGCCTAAAAAGTGTTTCTTTTGTGGGGACCTTAATCACATGGTGAGAGCTTGCAACCTTGATTCTTTTAGATGTTTCAAGTGCAGGGAAGTGGGGGCACACCTCCCATTCTTGCCCCTCTGCCTTGTCTCCCCCTCTAGGCTGCCCCATAGCACCACCATCCCCCTTATCTCCACACGACCTTCTGTCAAAGATAAGATCTCAAAGTTGTCATATTTTGATATTTTGTCCATGGGTGTGCGTTCTCCATCTATCCCTGAGCTCAAGGAAATGCCAGAATATCACTTTAATGTTAAAGAATGGAGCTTTCAGATCCTTCACTTTGAGTCCGGTAAATTCATGATTGAATTTCCATTCCTTGAACTCAGAGATCAAGCTGTTCTTATGGGCTAACATTGATATGGGTTCATTCGGTGGCACTTTCAGCAAATGGATGGAAACGAAAGGATTGCAACTCTTCCCCAAGCCAAAACTTTTCTCGATCAAGTTATCTCGTATCCCTCTCCATCTGTGGGACTGTGATTTCATCTCTGCATTGCTTAATTATTTCGGGGAGGTTTATGCATTATCTTGAGGTGTTAGATATATGGAAGAAATGGATGCCTGCAAAGTCCTTCTCAAAACTAGATGTCGCAAGGACATTCCCGAGTCCATCCCCTTTCTCTAAATCTCCCATGTAAACGGTTGCCTTCTGAAGGGAAAGGCTTTCACAGCAATCCTATCTCAGAAGAGGCTCTCAAAACTAAGAAAGGATCACAGTTCCTCTTGAACGAAGGGGATTCTTCCACCCAATTCACTTGGAAGGATCTACCTGGTTTAGGTCTGGATATGGATTCAGAAGCTCATTGGCCGTTCTACTCGGACACATTTTCACCGGAATATATAGCCACCGAAGATTGATATCAAGGGCAAAAATATAATTGCCCATCATTCAAATTTAGTTGGAAAGGAGGAAGTTATTAAGGAATCAGATATCCCCATGAAATCACGGGAATAGGTCAGCAGTTTCCCTATTTTTAATTTTCCTGAGATGGTAGAGGTAATTGTGGATGGTAAAAGTGTCTTTTTACCAAGAGCTGACCAGGAATCCTTTTATGCTGAGCTCAAACTTGGACCACATGAAGGCTCCAGTAAAGGCCCAGCTAATAACGATCCTTCATTAGCATGGAAGAGCTCCAAGTTCACCCCTCGAACCCTCTGCTAGAATGTCCACAGATGCTTTGTCCTCCTCAGCTCAGCCACCTAGTTTTGAAAGGTCTTCACGTATGAGAAGGCGTCCTCCAGCCCTCCTCTCTCTCAATCATAAGCCTTACCGCAAGTTCATGGCTGGATCATGTAAGACCCTTCCTCCTCTATGCAAAAAGGGCCAGCCCACATCTTCTTCAACTCCTTTCATGCCAATTAATTCATTATTTCAAGAATTGCTTTCTTCTATTGCTGCAAATCGTGGTGTCCTAGAGCATCTACCGAAAGAGGCTTTTAGTGACCTAATTGCTTTAGAAGTAGATAGAGCCAAGCATACTTCCTAATCCCCTAAGGAAGTTTTCTTTGATCTTGATTAGGTTGGTATCTTTGTTGGTTTATTATTAAGATTGGTTCTTGAAACATTAGAGGGCATAATAATCCTGTTAAGAGAAGATCAGTCAAAGACTGTATCTTATTTTTTGGTATTGATATAGTGAGGCTACAATAATCTAAGCTTAACTTTGTGAAAACTAGAACCCTTAAAGCTCTGGGTGGCCATAGAATTAATTCTTACCTTAATTTAGATGCTGATGAGTCTAGAGGTAGTGTGCCATTAGGATGGAATAATAGCCTCTATGAGTGTGTTGATTGCTTCATAGTGATTTTTTCAATATCTATTGAGCTACACCACAAGGTTTCCAATTGAAAATCTATGGCTATAGATTCGGTTCAGAAGCAGAGGTTGGCATCCTACAGTCTGAAGGGAGATGCCGGGAGATGGTACCGGCTGCAGTTTACTTTAGAGCAGAGGATGACCCTCACATAGGAGGATTTCATCTACTTCTTCGATGGGCAGTATATTTCTTCTGCAGCACGGACTGGGAAGGAGCTTGAGTTGTCCCGGATGACTCAGGGGGACATGACAGTGGCAGATTATGAGAGCCGGTTTATGGAGTTGCTGCATTTCACGGGTATGTGGCAGACAGGAGAGCGTCAAGCTCAGATGTTCTTAGCAGGGCTACGCCCTAATCTCCGTCGGTACCTCGTCTCGAGGAGGTTCTATTCAGTTAGGGAGGTAGCTGAGGCCGCCACCTCACAGGAGATTGAGACTACTATGTTCCTGAAGGACAAGGAAGGGAAGACCAAGGCAGGGCAGAGCGGGGATAAGGGTAAGAACAAGAGACCTTTGACAGGGCATCAGCATCAGCAGCAGCAGGGCCCTCATAAGAAGGGACCCCATCAGGATCAGAGAGCGCATCAGCAGCGCAAGTTCCAGGGATCTTGTTTTAACTGCCACAAGGTCGGGCACAAGGCATCAGAGTGTCGTAGTGCACCAGCAGGAGCTCAGCAGGGCAGGGCCCGAATCACCAGCAGTCTTGCTCATAATTAGTTGTATATCATACTTGCAAGAATAAATTGTTAATAAGTTTTAAATTGGCATTAAATTGGATTAGATTAATATTTACCCTATTCACCCCTCTCTAGGATAATTTCATCACCACCCTCCCATATCTGTGTTGGACTATGAGAACATTGGAGCGGTCCAATGAGAGAGAGAGAGAGAGAGAGAGAGAGGAGAGGGAGGTTTTCTAGTGGGAGATCAAAAGAATTAATTCCATCTTTCCATTGCCTTCGGTGCTCTTTGGTGATTCTAATGTGACACTCAGTTTAAGGAAAGAATGGGTAGATCTAGCTCCATTAGAGGTATAAACTCCTTCAAATTATTAGTTGATTCTCTTTTTCTTATGAATCTACCTCGTAGTGGCAGACAATTCATCTAGTCCAATATGAGAGATGACCCCGGCCTTGCTAGGCTTGATAGATTCCTCATCAATGGAGCATTTAAATCCTTTTTTCCACCTTGATTCAATATTCTTTTCTAACATCTTGTTCTGACCACTCTCCCCATCATTCTAGATTTAGGAGGTCATGTCCCCAATCCTTCTTCTAGATTGGAGAAAGTCTGGCTTAACCACCCATCATTCAAGGACTTCATTCGAACTTGTTGGTCATCCATCTCTCATCAAGGAAACCAAGTTGTTGTTTTCAAATTCAAACTTAATCTTCTCAAGAAAAGAAACAAGTGGATGGAGAAAACATGTTTTTGGTTCAATCCAAATTTCCAAAAAAACGGCTCCTATCTTTATTCAATCTCTAGACTCTTTGCAAGACATTAGACCTCTTAGAGTCAGAAGTCTATACTAGGAAAGACCTTAGATCTAAACTTGCTGAGATAGCCAAATAAGAGGAAATCTTTTGGTGCCAAAGATCTAGGATTACATGCTGAGTAGGGACGTCACATTCTATAAGGCTTTTATCTTAAAGCTTTCCAGCTCTCATCAGGTGGAGAGCGACCCGACAGAGAAGATATCGTAGGTGGTGGAGATCGATGCAGCTCCACAGTATTCAGATGGTACAATATTCATTAGAGTGCCGACTGAGGTAACGCCAGGCGAACACGACGGTGACACAGAGGATACTGGTACTAACATGTAGGATCAGGGACCGACGACTCAGGTTCATGATTCTATTGCGATTCGGAGACAGAGGAGAGACATACGAATGCCAGCACGGTATACCGACACAGTTGCGTATGCACTTCTGGTGGAGAGTA